TGAGGAATAGTAATACTATCACAAAAAGACAAATCAACAAAACAAAAAAAAAAATCCACAATGAAATGCTAGAACTGAATGAAACTTTTGAAAAAATGGATTTAGCTGATGATATCAAAATTAACCCTTTTCTCAGCTACACACAGGATATTCTCCAAAACAGAACACGCATTAGCTCATAGAACATGCTTAAGTAAATACAAAAGAATTGAAATTATCCCATACAATTTATCAGACTATAGTTCAAAGAAATTGGAAATCAATGAGAAAATAAACCACAAGAACTTCATAAATACATAGTAATAAATAGCTTCCTGAACAATCAATGGGTTACAGATGAAATGAAAGAAGAAATTAGACAGTTTCTATAATTAATACAACATACCAAAATTTATGGGATACAATGAAAGTAGTCCTATGAAGGAAACATAGACCACTGTATGCTCAGATTTTAACAATAAGGGTTCGCAATGAGACCTGCAGAAGACAATTGGATGTGGGTTTATGTGTCCTATGGCCGGTCTCATAAAGGTGCAGTGACATCCTGAGTTAAGGAACACTTGCAGCCATCTGCCTGGCCAAGACAGGGAGTCCTCCTTGCTCTCTGACCATGGTGAAGGTCCTCTATCTGCACGCAAACAGGTCCAATGTCCAGTGGCTGCAAGTTTCTGTGACATTCGCTCAGGAAATAGTTATTGATCCACAGTAGATATAAATGCATGTGTTTATGCTATCCTTTTAATTGGGCAAAAATGTTAGTGTAATACAAAATGCTAAAAAAATTTTCACTGTAAAAATATAAATGTTATCTTTATATTTCATTATAGATCTTAATTTTGTCCATATATAATGTTACCACTTGAATAGTAACCATTTGTTTGTTTAATAAATATTCAGTTTATTTTTATGTAAAAAAGAAATTGTATTGGTTTTCTTTCTTTAAAAAAAGTGGAATATACAAAAACAATACAAAAAACTCTGATCCCCAAGTTTAAAGATCCAATCCAAAATTGGCATCTGAAATTAATATATACTCCTCAGATGAAGAAGTACAAACAGAAAATAAATATATGAAAACAATGTTCAACAGTAGTCATTGAGAGATGGAAATTTAAAAATGCTGAGATTCCATCATACCATAGAAAGAATAATTTTTATCAAGAAATTGACAAATAACAAATGTTTTCTGGGTCATGGTGAAAAAGGAACCCTTCTCCACTATTGGGAGTATAGACTAAAGCAATTGCTAAGGAAATCAGTGTGGAGATTCCTTGAAACCTAGGACTAGATATTCCATTTGACCCAGATACTCTTCTAGGTATAGTCCCAAAAGAATTAAAAGTATCATGTCACAGCAAAATAAAGTCACCCACATTTATAGCAGTACAGTTTGTAATAGCCAAATCTTGGAAACAACCCAAATGTCCATCAACTGGTGAATGGATAAAGAAGGTGTTTAGGTTTTTTTATGCAATGGAGTATTACTCTGCCATAAAGAAGGATAAGACATTTCTAGGTAAATGAAGGCACCTTGAGGACATATTCTTAAGGAAATAAGTCAGACACATATGCGTAATTACAATATTGGTTCTCAGTTGAGGAAAATCTAAAGTGTAAATAAGGACAAAAATATATAACAGGTATTGTGAAGTAGAAAGAAAATATTCGAATCAGGAAGGGTACAAAGGAGGGAGGAAAAAGAAAGAAAATTAAAAACTTTAAAAAAGGAAAGAAGGAAAAAAAAACCAATGAACTACCATAGGCCCACATACATGGAATGTCATAAAATATTTGTATGTTGGTCCTGGCTTATTTTATTTATCATAGTGTTTCCAAAGTTCATCCATGTTGTAGCGTATATCAGCATTGTTAGTCCTAAGTCTGAATAGTATTTCATTGTATGATGTCTCTCATTTTGTTTATCTATTTGTCTTTCAATGGATACTTTGACTGCTCCCATATTTTTGTCAAGTGTGAATATTGTTGATATGGATGTGGGTATACAAGTGTCAGTATAAATCAGTTCTTTCATATATATATATATATATATATATATATATATATATATATTATTCAAATTAATAAAATATATATTTCTTTTTGATTGTTCAAGAAAGTAGTTTTGTACAATGTTGACATAATTTTGTTTTAATTACCAAATCACAAAATTTCTGATTTACTCCTATCTATTCCAAAAGTTGTCATTTTCTGAAAATTTTAAAATAATAATTAACTTATTAAGTGTGAAACTGTGTCTCATCATGGTTTTGCTTTTCATTTTCCTAATTACATATTAGTGATGTTGAGCATCTTTTCACACATTTATTTCCCATAAGTATATCTTCTTCCCCCTTTTCTCTCCCAAAGTGATGTTAAAGATGGGATCTGATGTGTGTTTCAGAAAGACTTCTGGCAAAGAAAAAATCCTTCTTCAGAAAAGGTGTAGAGACTCTCTGAGATTGAGCAGAACTGTCCTCATGCTCAGAAAGGTAGAGAGAGAAAGAAGCTGAGATGTCTAACGGAGTAAGATTGATAGGACATGGACCAGGGATATAGCTCAGCAGCACAGCACCTGCCTGGCAAGCATGAGGTCATGAGTTCAATTCCTGGTAAAAAAAAAAAAAAAAAAAAAAAAAAATAGGACATGGCTATGTTGTAATGAAGGAGAGGAAAGGTTTAGGGCTCTGTTCTGCTAAGGCTGGAATTCAGGTAGAAGACACAAAGCTCTCTCTACACAAATGTTGACCACCTTCTCAACACCTAGTCTGAATCTCTGAGTGTTCTTTTATTACCTCTGGATTTTCCAAGGACTTTCTTTTTTTTCCTAACAGGTCCCCTACTCATTTTCCCTCCCACTTCCTCTTTACCTGATTCAGATTCACATCCTTAACTGATGTTCTCTGTATCAGAGAGACAGACATGCACAGATATCACATATCCTTGCCAACATTGTATTACCTATTCTTTGGTTGTTCAGGTGAAATTAAACCATGATGTACTTCTGGATGGAGAAGTAGAGGGAAATGAAGAAACCTAAAATCTCTGACACAGTAGATGAGAAGGAAATGAGCATTTCTGTGTTTTGTTTGACTTCATATAGGCTAATGTCCTCTCCTTCAGTGGCACAATAAATATTTCTCATAACCTCTTCGGAGTAGTTGTTGGCTTGCTTATCCAGATGTCTTTCAGGAAATTTTAAATGGTGTGTGTGTGTGTGTGTGTGTGTGTGTGTGTGTGTGTGTGTGTGATTAAATTTCAGGCTAGGTAGTGCGAGCCAAAATACATGCTCAGACTATGAGAAAGGAAGAATGTTGTACTCCCCTTTACAAGTTCTTTAATTTTCAAAAAGGCACTTTTAGCAGGTATTATGATAAATATAACCAAGAGAGATCAGAGACATAAAATAAATGATGTGGAAAGCAATAATAATGACTACTCAGGTTTTGTGGTAATTAACACAACGACAAAGTGTTACACCACCATTAATGTGTCTAAATATGGGTAACAGCACTAAGTTTTATGCTGAAATAGTCTAGATCACTTTTTCTACCTTTATGCTTGTAATTACTATGTAAGGTCAAGAAAGTCATAAAAGCAATGTTTTATTAGGAAAGTATGTATTCTATATGAGACGGACTATCGCCACAAAATTAACAAGTCTTCTTTGATGATCATTGAAATTTCATTGGAACCAACCAAACTGAGAGGATTTTTTTTCATTTTACATTTTATAAAGATTTTAGGGCCAGCCAGATAGCTCAGTTAACTAAAGGGCCTGCTTAGGCAGACACAAGGTCAGGGGTTCAATCCCTGGTATGCCATGCTGGCCCTGCCCCTGGAGCATGCTGAGGGAGCAATTGAGACTGGTGCAAGCCTATAACCCCAGCTCTTGGGAGGCTGAAAATAAAAGAATCATTATGAGTCTGATCTGTACAGTAAGACCCTGGAGACCCTGTACTAAATACAAAAAAATAATTTTTTTAAAGATTTTAAATGATCAAGTTCCCTACCCCCCCCAGATTGATATTTCTCTGGTATACACCAATAAAAATACACTGCCAAGTTTACTTGCTCAGTCAATAAAAGTATGTTTTTAAAGTAGAAATTTTGTATACTCGAACTTAGAAGTTGTTTCTCTCTCTCATCTCTAGGAAATGATCTAGCAACCAAATCTGAAGGAACAAGCTTTTGACAAGGTGTTATGCTGCAACTCTGAAAAAAAAAAAAAAATCAACACTATTCTCAGAAAACAGAATGTGTTCTTTCTGGTAAAAAAAAGTTGCAGGCAGTTGATGACAGCTTATAGGAAAAAAAGAGTTGTTTCAAATCCTCCAGCAGGATTTTACACTGAATGAATGCCTTAAATAAACATGGCATCTGTGAGATACAATGTCATGCAATGAACAGGGTACAAGTCTTTATTTTTTTACAGTGGAATTAATAATAATAAACAACAAACATAGAAGTTTTACACTTTTGAATTTATTACCAAATTTATCTCCACTAACCCCCAGTATTGACTTGCATTTTTGGTTGAAGCCCATTTGGTTGCTACCTTTAGATAAGAAAAATCTGTTGCATACTAAAGGCAGAATTGGGAGACAGAACAATAACAGAACTTAATTTGTAATGTTCTAGGGAGTGCTGAAGTAGTGATCACTGAAGTCCCAAATTAGTACAATCCCTGATTTTAAAAAAGAAAAGCCTAAAATCAAAGAAAAAGCAGTAAAATGCCAATAGGAAAATTGACATGCATAAAAATTCATAGAAAAATATAAATGAGACAAGCATATGAGAAAAATATTCAATCTTTCAATAATAATATAAATACATTCTAGTATAATAACATGATTGCATTTTGCTATGAAATTAGTACCTCTGGTAGAAAATTGTAATGTCTGATTTTGACAAGTTTGTTAAGAATATAAATTTAATATGAACTTTTTGTAAGCTGTTTGGTATTTGTATTAAGAATGCTTAAAAGTGTATCCAATTTAGCCTCATAAAGCTTTTGCTAAGAAGCAAATCTAAAGAAATAAAATTTGGGCAAAAATTTATTTACCAATAGCCTAAACAAATATTTATTTGCTAGTAGCCTAAACAGCTATGTCAAAAATATGTAAATAGCTTCAATGAGCAAGAAGAACAGAAAATTTAAACTAAGTATGGTTTACCTATCCTATGGAACATCATTCCACTATTAAAAATTGTGTTAATAAAATGTGAAAATGTTTATACCACGATGTTAGGTGGAAAGAAACATTTATTTATTTATTTATTTATTTATTTTTTTAACTTTAAACAGATTTTTATTACACAAAGGTTGTCACATTGATCTTTATTTTATACAC